CAGGAACATTCCATAGCCCTCCTGAGGGTCTACCCAAGGAGACGTGGACCCAGGGGGTCTGTCCAGCCCCTGCTGGCTCATCCTGGGTCTCAGCACTGGGTAGGATGCCAAGGTCCTCAGAGTATCCAACTTTCTTGCCAGAGGCCCATTTAGTACCCTTTTACACCCCCACAGTGCCCTGCCAGGTGCCTTGCCTTTATCCTACAGTACCATTACTGTCCCTTCTTCTAGCTCTCCGGCTCTAGTATCCTACCCTACGCCTATCTCAGGATAGCCAGAGGGTTAGTCGTCTGGCAGGTAAAAAAGCCTTGCCTCGCTATCCCTGTTCAGTGAGGACTTATATCCACCACATGAAATTGCCAGGCTGGATCCGCCACCAGCGGAGAAAGCTGGCTATGTGAGGCCAGCAACCTGCTCCACCCATACATGAACCCCTGACTGCCTCCATGGAGCCAGTCTTCTTCCCAACACTCACACTTGGCTGCAGCCAACCTCCAGTCATGGTCAGTCCTGAGCTTGCCTGGCCAAGCACATTTTGTACAAACCCACTGAGGCTGCCTCATCTCACCAGCAGGGTCTGTCAGGAGACCATCAGCATAGAACAGCTCCCCATGCATGAGCAGAACAGTGAGGCCTATGTGACCACACCCCTGGGAGCCTCTCCGTGTCCCTAAGAAAGCCCTCTATCTCCCCACTAACATGTCTTCCCCCATTTACCTGGGAAGTCTTTGGAGATAAACATTTTGTAAAATCACCTCCCCACAAGCTTAGATTTGTTGTTTTGGTCATCAGTTGACTAATGTTCCACTGTTTTCCTGCAATTACTCTGGGTCAGGTGCCCAAGTTATGGAATGAAAGCTGTAACTCACATCCCACTAATTGACCCAGAAGATGCTCCACTGGCCAGGGCACATATCATGCCATAAGGCAAATATGGTCCTGCCCATCCTCACTGGGCAGACAAACACCAGAACTGGAGGACACGGTCACGGTCACACCAGGTCAAAGACTCCCTCCTGGGACCTAGAAGATTCTTATGTCCATACATATTCACATCAATGGAGAGCACAATTTCAGAGTCTTATAGATGTCCATCTGAATCATGGCATGCTACTTCTAGCTGTGTGCCTTTGAACAGATTATTACACTACTCTGACCATCAGCTTCCTCTTGCATCAAGGGAATAGTAATCTCTTACAAGGTTCTATGAAGATAAAATATGTCTGTCCTGTAAGTGAAATGCCTAGCACAGCTTTGTGCCCACAGAGGTACTAGTAGCAGCTTTTCATGACTCATTTAAAAGTTCCAGGTAACACTTCAGGGGTGTGTTAAATGCCTTACAGACATTTTATAAGTCCCTTCCAAGGAAACTGGGAGGAGAGAGCTCTGGCAGAAAACTCTAAACTAAATCCTAGTGCTGTCACATACCAGCCTCATGACCTTAGACAAGGCACTCTAGGCCTTGGTTAGCATGCCTGGAAAACGGAGATAACATTTCCCAGCCTGGCAAAAGAGATGAGAAGTATGAGAGTTATAAGGTACCGCACACAAAGCAGTAATAAAGAGTATCCTTCCTTTAACACATTCTAGGCAAGTAAAATATTGGAAATAGCAGATATCATCCTCCCAGCCAGGGCTCTAGGGCCTATTTCTCAATTATTTCTGATTCTCTAAAACCTCAGCAAACAGCTTGTTTAAAAAGCAGCTAAAGGCCACAATTATGCTTTGGGAAGCTGTGCTCTGCACAATAAGGAAAATGGTGATGTGAAGGAAACCAAGCCAGGGATGTCAACTTTGAGTACAGGCCTTGTCGGCTTCTCATTTGCTGTTCCTGGCCAGAGAACTGGGCTGACTAGAAGTGCAGCCAGCCAGGTCAGCGGCTGCCCTCCCAGATTCCAGCCACCCCAGCACCCATGGTTATTTTTGGCTGGCACTGCCCTACCACTGCAACCTCAAACCTGCCACCTAGCAAGCCTCCACCACCAACGGGTGAAACGCTTCTTCTTTTCAAGGGCATCAAGGAGGGAAGCTGGAAGGCCGCCAACTCCGCCTCTGCTGGGGGCCTGGTTCAGGCAATTTCCACCCCAGCTCCACATCAGGGCACCCACACCCGGAACTAAAGCTAGAGACTCCCGGCAGGACGGAGGAGCAGCCAGGGGATTTGTACTGTCAGCTTGGCCTAGCCCATACCCCGGGCTGGAGCGGCTCCATCACCACAACAAAACACTCAAGGGGGCCTGCGCTCTCGTTCGCGTCCCTTCCTGCCGCGCCAGGTCCCAGGGGTCTCAGAGTCCCCTCTCCTGTAACCGCCACCAGTGGCGCCGAGGGGAAAACCTGCGGGCAGAGGCAAAGCCGAACTGGGCCAGAATCAAACTCCAGGCCGTCAAAGGAGGAGTCGTCTGTGGACCAAGTCTGAAGCCAGGGGTAGGGGAGGTGTCTGAAGGGACTCTGGCTATTCCACGTCGGACCCGACCCCATTCCGCGGGCAGGCACAAAGCCTAAACTGGACTCTTGAGCGGCCCCAGAGACCGTTCAGGCTCCGCCTTCAACACCGCGGAATCGAGGTCAGGGTCTGCAGTGACCGCCCTCCGGGGCAGAAGCTGCGGGTCAGGGGTGAGAGGTCGAGGCCGCGGCCCGAGGTGGGCCGAAGAGGAGAAAGAAAGGGAGTAAGCCGAGACCGAATGGCACCAGCGCGCCTGCCCCGCCAACTCACCCCCAGCCGCCGCCACCGCTGTCGCCGCCACGGGCCCCAGCCCACACTTACCGTCTCCCAGGCTCCGGCTGCAGCTAGGCCCCACTCCCCGCTCCGAGCGCTTCTTCCGCTTCCGGCTGCGACCTCCGCCCGTGGCGGCCCCGCCCCCTCGCGTGACGCAGGCGTCGCGAGCCCTGGCTCGACCCGGCTCGGAGGCCTGGCCGCTCTAGCCCCCGACTCGAAGGCTCCGGGACACCAGCCCTCTCCGCTCCGGTGGGCGCCGCGGCCTCGGAGACTAGTTCCGGGAGGGTCGAGGGGACGGGCCTGGCCCGGCCCGCCTCCCGCCGTGTCGCGGCGCACGTAGGTTCCCCGACCTGACAGGTGCGCGGCCCGGGCCGGCTGGGCTCTCAGAGCCGAGACGTGGGGCCCCGACCCGGCCGCGGGGCTGGGCCCGCTCCGTCGCCCCGACCCCGCGTGGTCAGCCAACTCCCTTCTGCGCGCGGAGAGGACGGGCATTGTTCTCGGGGCCCCGGAGAGCGCGAGAGCGGCCTGAGGTCTGTGCGCTGGGGCTCGGGCAGGCGGACGCGACTCCGCTTGCGCGAAACGAGCGAACGACACATTGTCTTGGTGTGTGCGGGTTTTTTGAAAGCCGTGGTGGGGCTCCCAGCTAGCCAGTGCGTGCGGGGCAGTTGCTGGGAAAACACCCTAGAGCCACTCTGGCGGGGCCTGTCGGCGGGGCCGGGGTCTGGCGAGGAGGAGATCCCCTCTCCTTGAGCCCCCTTGGGTGGAGCGGCTTCCTGCCAGCCTGCGTGGCCTCTCCGTTAAGACTCCCCCGCCAGACAAAACCCCCGCCGGCCGCGTCTCCGGGCCACTGGACAGTCCTGTTTTGCAGAGGCCTCGAGCGTGAGGTCACCAAAATCCCTGACACCTCCTGTCCCGCGCCAGGTCGGGCAGGATTACGAGGCCCCACTTTGCAGATGAGAAAACTGAGGTGGGGCTCTTTTGAGAGACCTCACTGTGAGCGTGCGCGTCCCTCCCGGTCTGGGAGTAGCGTCCCCGGCCTCGCGAGCGTCGTGCAGCGGAGCGACAGGGCGTGGCGCCTAATTGACCCCACGCCACGCGAGGGCTAGAAACCCTCAGTCAGGGCGGACCATCCCTCCAGGCACCGCCCCCTCGGGACCGCTCCGCGGGGGCGCCAAGGGTTTCCCCACCACCGTGGGGCTCCCCACCGGCCGGCCAGCCGCTGCCCAGCCCATACCCACTCCCCCGTGGGGCTGGACCCGCCCCTGACGCGGGACGCTGTTGCAGGGGGGCCCCCCTTCCAAGCTGCGACTGTGCTTCAAGTCCTTCGCCAGCGGCTCTCCCTGAAACGGGGGATCTCACAGCATGATTTGTAGGGGTGTTTAGTATCCCCCAAATCTCTGCCAGCTCCACCACGGCTACCGGAAGTAAACAATAGACGCTAATTCAAAACTAGGTCCCCTTCCAAAAAATTACAAAAATTAGCCGGACTTGGTGGCGCGTGCCTGTAGTTCCAGCTCCTTGCAGCGGACTGAAGCAGGAGGATCGCTTGATCTCAGGGGGTTGAGATTGCAATGAGCTGTGATCACACCACCACACTCCAGCCTGGGCGACAGAGCGAGACCCTGTCTCAAAAAACAAACAAAAAATCTGCCAGGCGCGGTTGTTCACGCCTGTAATCCCAGTACTTTGGGAGGCCGAAGTGAATGGATCACCTGAGGTCAGGAGTTCGAGACCAGCCCGGCCAACATGGCGAAACCCCATTTCTGCTAAAAATACAAAAATTTGCTGGACGTCGTGGCACGCGCCTGTAGTCCCAGCTGCTGGGGAGGCTGAGGTGGGAGAATCACTTGAACCCGGGGGGGCAGAGATTGCAGTGAGCCGAGATCAGGCCACTTCACTGCAGCCTGGGCAAAACAGCGAAACTCCATCTCAAAAAGAAAGTCAGGAGCCGCTTCAGTGTACAGTGGGTGACCCAGATCGGCTGCTGAGGTCCTGCCCTGTAAGGTCCTACCTCAAAAGCTGAAGATTTTGAAAAATCCCAGGCCGTCTGAGATGCCATTCCTGCCTGGTCCCCATGGCCTCAGCCACACTAGCCAGGTTCCATCCCAGGGTTTCATCAGCTCAGATAAGGTGGGAGGCCTCTGTGGTGTCTCCTCCTCCCACCACTTAGTGTTGCCTGAGTTTCCATGGCTCCAGGATACCAGCCCTGAGGAATGGATGTTCTCAGAGAAGCTCCTGTCCCCAGCCCTGCCCTGAGCTCCAGGCTCTGATGGGGTAAGTTAGTCACCTTCCTACCAAACTGCCTACCATTAAGAATCCAGGAGTCCCTGCCTCACAGTCACGAAGCAACTCTCTTTTTCTGAGGTGGAAAAGAAGCTATCTCCTAGCTCTCTCCCTCTCCACACTTTGCAGCCTGGAGGCCATCCTGCCTGGCATTCTACCCTTAGAGTTTCATTCTTTTGTGGCTTTCACAGCTTTCAGATACTTGGAGAAAGATGTGCCCCCAGTTGAGGTTTGGGTAACTCCTCCTCTCCCATCCCCCCCCCAGAAGAGGCTTGCTGCACCTCCACTGCCCCTCAGGCCCAAGCTCCCGTCTCAGTCCTCAGGCTCTGTGGAGGTGAGGACTGCAGCATATCTCAAGGGCACCTGGGGAGGTGCCGCTGCCCTGCATCCTCCCAAACCCCACAGCTCTTCTCACCCCTCTTGGTCTCCCTTTTGCCCCCCACCTCCACTTCCACCGAGCTTAGGGCTCAGCTCACTGCCTGCCAGGCCCAGCTGCTCTGATGCCCTCCTTGTCCTATTGTCCTTACTCTCTCCTCTGTCTGCCTCATCTGACTGTGACTTCTCTGGAGGCAGTTGATTCACCTCTGAGCCTTGGCCCCAGGGTCACCTCCCTGGAAAACCTTCCTGGGGCTGCCCTGGCCTGCCCCCCTGCTCAGGACAATCTGGCCTGCATGTGCACTCCATTCTGTAGACCATGAGCCCCTCCCAGACCAAGCTGGGCACAGCTCAGGTTCTCACTAAGGGCAGGGGGCTGCCATGGAAAACCTGTCACTACTGACTGGCAAGACAGTGCCTAGGCAGAGTGGCATTGTGGGAACTGTGCCCAGTACGGGAGGTGGGGGCAGGGCCAGTCTTCATGGTCCATCTTAGAGAAGCCTTGTGTGGCAGTGATATTTTGGAGGGGAGGCAATTTTGGAGGGGCTGCAGGAGCCTGGGCCTGGAGTAAGGGGAGAGGAGAATCAAGCTGTCCAGTGGGGAGAAGTCCTGGTGGGCGATGGTGCCATCCTGAGTGGAGAAGGCCTGGGAATGTGAGGAGTGGGGAGGTCAGGGTGGGGGTGGTAGAGGTGCCAGGTGTACCCACTGCTTAGGTGAAGACAACGCCTGTGTACTTTCAGAGCCTGGGCAGGGTGCCTCATGCCCAGGGTTGGGAGTCGGGAGGCAGTGGACTTGGGCCCAGACCCTAGAGGTGAGGAGGGTGATGGTGAGGGGTGTAGGGATGGCAACATTGGCAGAACAGCCCCTGTCTACCCTCTGACCTCCCTCACCAAGCTGGTGGGTGAGAGATCTGTCAGGGCCTCCATCTTACAGCTGAAGCTATGGAAGGCAGAGAGGTACCTGAGCAGTGACTTGACTTAAAGGCTCTGACACCCACATCATAGCTAAACTGTGGGGTCCCCCAAATGCCTCCCTGCCATTTCCAGACTCCCACACTGGAAGGGGGAATGGGGCTCTGGTGCAGACAGTGTTGGGTGGGAATTGCAGCTCCTCACGGGACTCCCTGCCAAACTTGGGCACCGGCTTCCCTTCAGGAGTGCCTGCTGCACCTCCCCAGACCTGCTGCTGTGAGGATAATGGGGTTTGTGTTTATTTAGCAAGTGGCCACCCCTGGCAGCACCCACAGCTCATGGAAACCACAGGGAATTGAGAACTCTAGTGGAGTTGAGGCTGGTGTTTAGTGAAGTTCCAATCACCAGGAGACTTTCAGGCCAGAGGATCAGGGTTGAAGGGTTTTAGTGCGTGCTCAGCCACACTGCCTCAATTCTGAGTCTGAGAAGAGGCCTCAGAGCCTGGTGCTTTGGGAAGCCAGGACTGCCCCTGATCTGTCCTGCTCTCAGGGCCCACTGAGGCAGAGCCTATGGACTTGATGCCCAGCCCTGCCCGCTGTCTCCAGAGCTCCTATTGCCTTGGGGCATTGGACCATGTCTGCCCACCAAGCCCCACTGAAGGGTGCAGGTGAGCATAGGGAAGTTGGGCATGGCAGCTCCCTTGGCCCCGGGCTGAAGTCTGGCTCCTCTCTCCCTGGCAGGTGCTCCAGCAGGGCCCCCGAGCAAGACTGGAGGCAGTCAGAGAAGGACCAGTGGAAGCAGCTGGCAGAAAGCAGGCGGCAGAGGGCGAAGCTGGCCAACCATCTTTGGGCAGTGCTGGAGGCCCATTCGGAGCAAGCCCTTGTGCTGCAGAGGCGAGAGCATGAGCTGGGACTCAGCTGGTCCTAAAGCAGAAAGTGAAGCCCTGTCCTCCCCCACTCCTTCTTCCTGGGCTTTCTGTAGCTGAAAGGAGGTCCCCTGAGCTACCAAGATCCCCTTAGCAGGCTGAAAGCTCCAGAATGCGCAGAGCCGGTGTCCACATCTGGTGCCATATTCTCAGGGAGGCCTGCCGGGGTCTGGGGCACCCAGAGGAAGGGAAATGGAGTCCCCAGCAAGGCTGCGGTGTTGAACAGAGATGTCTCTGAATGGTACCCCTGGAAGGGTGCAGGGTGTTGCCTGGGAGGCATATGCTCGGGGTGGCTAGGGACAGCGCTGGAGGTGAAGGAAGGGCCAGGGTCCCAGTGGCCCCCCAGGGAGAATCTGAGGGAGGGAGGGGCTTGTTTTAGCTCCATAGACTGAAGAGCTTCCTTAGAAGCGCAATCTCCCCAAGTGAAACGGGTGATCCCCAGAGAGGGGGAGATGACTGTGCAGGCTGAGGGTTCTTGGGAAGATTACCAGCATCCCTACCTCGTGTGAGGGTAGGGACATCCTTACCTCATGTGAGGGAAAGGGACACCGTGTGATGGCCCAGTTCCCCAAGCCTTCAGTGACTCCGTGTCTTAGCTCACAGCTGGCCCTCCTGGAGCCACTGCTCCCTTACTAGGCCTGGGGGACCCTTGGGACCTAGTTGACAACCTCGTGTCTGCCTGCCCTTTAGCATGCCACAGCAGTTCTGCTGACCTCCACCCTGAAACCCGTCAGCAGCTGGAGAGCAGCTGGAGAAGCAGTGTATCTCGGGCCCAGCTGGAGGCAGAGGATGCACAGCTGGAGCATGTCGTGATAGATAACAGCCAAAAGCAGCCCCTCAGGGCCCCAAGGCACGGGTCCATGCTGGGCTGTCAGCTGGGCTGTTGGCTGCCAGTCCGCCTGTGTTATCAGAGGCTGCAGACACTACCCTGCCTGGTGGGAGGCAGGGAAGCTACGCCTACCTATCCGAGGCTCTGTGCTGCCTTTGACCCTCCCACTCAGCCTCCTCCCAGCAGGTGGAGTGCTCCCTGGCCTGCCTGGAGCAGGAGAGGCACCAAAGGCAGGGATCCCAGGGACAGGCTGAGTGGGGGAGGCCAGACCAGGACATAGAAGACAAGTGAGTGGGGCTGGGCTGTGGGGGAGGGGTAGGGTGGCAGGGAACAGGCAGACAGTCCCTTCTACCCACAGGATCCTGCTGCTGCAGACAGAAGTGGAAAAGGCCCAGTGGCATTTGGACCAGATGACCCAACAGCCTCTTGGCCCAGAGCCCAGCCCGGGGATACCCCAAGTGGGTGCATGGCAGGCCGTGAGCACTGGCCCTGCCATACCTTTGACCCTGCCCTACACTTTATTCTCTGGTTCTCATTATTGGAGCATTATCTGGAGAAGGAGGGCAGCACAGGGGCTTAGTCCAGCCCAGAGAGGGATCCTCTTCCAACATTTGGGAATACCCTGGGATCATTCAGTGACTTCCCTCCTGGTTCAGATGGGAAACTGAGACCAGAGGGCAGAGGAGAGCTTGTTCAGAGTCATAACTTGAGTTGGGGCCAGGACCCTGCCACAACATGCCCTGAGGCATCAAGGGTCTGCCTAGACTACCCCAGTGTGGTCTAGAAGCTGGAAGGAGACCCCAGGATTCTGGACCAAGCGTATCCACAGGAGATGCTGGTGCCAGGCCTGCAGATCCAAGAGCAGAGCTGAGATGGAGGCAGGGCCCAGGAGCTTTGGGACCCAGACAGAGTCTCCATGCCAACAGCTGAGACCCCTGCCCAGGCTCAGGACACAGTCCATCTGCAGGAACAGTTACTGATGCTCGCTGAGGTTGGTCAAGACAGCTGGCAGGGGCAGCCCCACAGGAAAGGGAATCTGGGCATTAGCTGATCCAGGCCATGCCCATCTGTACCAGGGGGCAGAAGCAAGGGAGCCTGGGCCCCATTCCTGGGGGATTCCAATGTAGGGCGAGGGGATCTAGGGGCACAGAGGAAAGGAGAATGACAAGGAGAGACAGATTCTAGCAGCGCATCCACACAGTGAGACTCCAGAGAGCACCATCCTCGTCCTCACATAACTGGCCCCCCTGCTAGTGTGCAGCCAGGCGCTGGTCCAGAGTCATCGCCTGGAGCGTAGAGGAGACTGCGGGCTAGGGTGGTCAGAGAGGCCTCCTGGAAGGGCTGAGACCCAGACGAAGTGGAGTTTGGGGCCTCTGAGGAGAAGAAGGGGCTGCATGGGTAAAGGCTGGAGCCCCACAACCCTGGTGGAGGCTGAGCCACAACTGGGTGGGGTAGAGGTCTCCCCAGGTGAACAAGAGACTCTCAGAAGAGCTGGGCCGGAGCTCCCAGCAACTGGGGGCCTGCTTGGAGCATTTGCAGCATCTGTAGGGAGAGCAGATGGTGTTGGGGGGCTGTGTGCAGGCCCTGGAGGCAGAGCGCACCTGGCTACTTCTGGAGAAGGTGGTGTTGCTAGCAGTAGTGGGTGTGGCCCCGGGCCAAGAGGCCTGGTAGGTGGCTGCTTGGGCCCATCCTCAGACTGTCCAAGCCAGGCTGGGGTGGGTGCTTTGTTCTCACCATGGGTGAGATGGCCCTCTCAGCAGGCGGTGGGCCAGCCTCTGTCACCAGCTGGCTGAAGGGGAATGGCCCAGAGCCCTAAACCTGGAATCACTTGACCAGAGCCAGTCTTCCTTCCCCAGGTATCAGCGCTCCTGGTTTTCACATTCTGACTCTTATGGGGTGGGAAATCTTTCAGCTTCAAGAAGTCCTGTCTCGCCTACACATAGCCAAGCCCCTCCTGCTGGCCCAGGGGCAGGTGGGAGGTGGGGGTGAGATGACCTTAGCTGCTGGGTGCAAGTCAGGGTGCTTGAGAGTGGAAATGCCCAGTACAGAGGGGTTCTGTGTGTTCAGGGAGCCATGAAAGAGGCATCTCTGCCCCACTCCCTGTCCTAGCTCATAAGACATAATAATCATTGAAAGGGAGTGGGGTGGGGGTGATCTGGGGTCCATGCTATACCTGGACTGCCCCATTTCTTCCAGTACACTCCAGGTCCCGGAGGTACCAGTTCCCCTCAGGAAACAGCTAGAAGCACAAGAATCACATTCCAGGCTTCATGAGGAGATGGCTGAGTACTAGAGGACACGCTGGCACCATGTGGCAGTTGCCCTGAAATTTAAAGAGGAGGAATTGCAGAGACTCCAGAGGCAGAGTGGGACCTGGCCTCCCCAGGTGGGCACTCTCTGTCTCTCTCCTTCTTCTCCACCCCCCACAACCCTGTTCTCCCCATTGTCTTCCCCACTGCCCAGTCTTTCCCATACAAAGCAACTAATCTCTTACCCCCTTGTTATACTTCCTTCCCATTTTCTGGCTCTTCCTCATCATGCCTCCTCATTCTCCATCCATGTGTTCAGCATGCATTTATTGAGTATCTGCTACATGCCTGGCCCTCTTCTGTGTGCAGAAGCAATGTCAAATCAGATCACTCCTTGTCCTCAACAGCTTATGGTTTGGGGGCACCCGGTAATTGAGCAAGCAATTATTTATTATTGGTTGATTTATAATTGATTGATTGCATCACAGTCTCTGTCACCCAGACTGAAGTGCAGTGGTGCAATCATAGCTCACTGCAGCCTCGAACTCCTGGACTCAAGCGATCCTCCTGCCTCAGGTAGCTGGGACTGCAGGCACGCATCACCACGCCTGGCTAAGTTTGTTTTTGTTTTTGTTTGTAGAGATGGGGGGTCTCACTACATTGCCTAGGCTGGTCTCGAACTCCTGACCTCAAGCAGTTCTCCCACCTTGGCCTCCCAAAGTGCTGAGACTACAGGCATGAGCCACGGTGCCTATTTTGTAAGCAATGATAATTTAATGTGCCAGATGAGGGAAGAGGCACAATGGGAGTTGGTTAAGGGGTGGCAGATAGGAGAGTCCCTCCCAGAGAAGGGGTTTCTGAGCCTCTGAACCCTCACACAGGATAGACAGGCATTTCCAGGAGGAGAGAAGGAATGAAGGGCATTTCAGCAAGAGGAAACTGCATGTGCATACACCCAGAGAGACAGGTGAGGAGTGTTGTAAATAGTGCCTGATCCAAATGAGAAGGAGAGTGGGTGCAGGGGTTACTATGGACATGGGACAGGGGCCACATCTAGGGTTTAGATGTCCCAGCTCCTGTCCATCTGACTCACGTCCAGCTTGGTGGCTGCCTTCTCCTGGTCAGCATCCGTAAGTCTCCTGGGCAAGTGTATGTATGCATGGGCAGACAGACACACAGACATGCATGCACATACACCCCCCCAAGATACATATCAGACATGTGCAGACACCCCCAGATATGCACACACAGAGACACAGAGAGAGATACAGACATTAGCCATTATGATTGCAATGAGGTGCCTGGGAGCCATAGGGAAGTAGTGTTCTAAGGACCCCAGGTGGGATCCATACTCTGCCACAAGGCCCCTGACTGAAGCTGATCTGCTGATCGCAGTGGAAGGAAAAGGAGAGAAAGTTTAGCTGGCCTTGGGCCTCAGAAAAGGCTGAGTTGGTCTAAATCAGTGTAGCTCAAACAGGTACACAGCTGTGCTGAGAGGGGGCTGTTCCTAAAATCAGAAGTGTAGTCTGCCATTATATATTTGTACAGAAGAAAAGCTCAGGTTTTTTTTTTTTTTTTTTTTTTGGTCTATTTCTCAAACCAGACCCTTGAGGGTCAGAGGATATATCCTCAGGGCCTGGATGGGCTATATTCTTTGGTCAAGTCTGAGGATCTGCAATGGACGGTGTCAGTGAGAAGGTAGTGGAGTGACAGAGGGCTGGGCCCTCGGCAGATTCGTCTCCTAGCAGGAAGTGGTTCTAGGTGAGCCAGATGCACTTAGCCTGCACATGATGCATAAGCCAGTGCCAATTTGGGCCCCATGTGTAGGGCCTTCCAGCCCCTCGGAGACTGCCCAGGCCATTTCTGCTCCCTCCCTGGACCCCTAGAAGGCCAACCCAGGATTCATCTACGGGCAGGTGGGGACCCTGGGCTCTGGGCCTATCCAGTGAGGATGGCCTAAAATGCAGACCCTGGGTCCTAGGCAGGGGTCCTGTGCAGAGTGGCTGATGGACCAGACTAGCAGCGCGCTTCCAGCAGGGCGAGGCTTTCAGAGATGGGGCAGCAGCTGGATAGGGTCTGGACGAAGCCATATTACATGAATGTCCGGCTGGCCAGGGGGTTTGAGGGCTCGGCGCCCAGTGCTCCCAGGGCCTCTGGCACGCTCCACCTCCAGTCCTATCCCCAGCCTCAAGCTCCTCCACCCGACCCTCTCTGGGTCTCTACCTCAGTCTGTCTTCAATCCCAGGATTCAGTAGTCTGCACTGTCCCCAGATTAGTGGCTAAGATTGTGGGTTTAAATCTTGGCTCCACAATATACTAGCTGTGTGACCTTGGGCAGTTACTCTGCCTCTCTGGGCCTTATCTGTAAAAGTGAAAATAACAGTTATCCTCCCTGAATGGGTGCCTAAGAGGGTGACATTTAACAAGCATGTGAAAACACATGGTATTCAGTCATGAAGCATTAGCCACTGATTGCACACTTCCTGGTGCTGCGGTGTGGCCGCTTTGAGGAGAAAGTTCTGCTCGAAATCAGGGTCCTTTTAGGGCCAGAGAGCTGCCACATGGGGCTGGATCCCACTTACCGTCTGTGAGTTTGCTAGGGCTGTGGTAATAAAGTGCTGAAGATGCTAACTTCAACGGCAGGCATTCATCGTCTCTTGGTTCTGGAGACTGAAGTTCACGTCAGGGTGTCGGCAGGGTTGGTTCCTCCTGAGGGCTGTGAGGGAGGGTCTGTTGTAGGCCTTGCCCCCAGCTTCTGGTGCTTTGCTTTGACATTCTTCCTGGGCAAGGGATGTCTGTGTGGCATCTCCCTGTGTGTGTGCCTGTGTCCACATTTCCCCTTGGTATAGGACACTGGTCACCTTGGATGAAAGCCCAGCCTATTGACTTCATTTTAGTCTGATTACCTCTGTAACGATTCTGTCTCATTAGGAGGTACTGGGGATGTCAGTATATTTTTTTGTTGTTGCAGGGGATGCAGTTCAACCCAGAACGCCTCCAATTTGCTTCCTGCTACCTTCCTGGCTGGGTGGTTTGGTTTGGGTGTGACTTGGGACCTCAGGCCCCCAGCTGCTCCCTCTTGCTTTTCCCATCGTGTAACCACAGGACCCTCACGCAGCTGCAGAGAGGCCAGAGTGTGTGCTGAAGGAGCTGCCGTGAGTCTGGGTGGGCACCACCCAGTGAGCCCCCAGGCCCCTAGTCCACACGCCAGCCAGGGAGGGCAGGCCAGGGCCCAGGAGGAGATCCGCTCCCCTCTGCAGGCTGGACCTGCCCAAACCCAAGAACCAGGGTGAGGGTTTCTGCAGGCATGAGAGGATGGGGTAGCAGGGCCCCTAGATGGGAGTGCAGCCTGCCTCTCCCTGGCCAGCCACAGGAGCAGGATGCAGGCTCTGGAGAGGGAGAACGACCAGATGGCTGCTGGGATCCAGAGGCGAAAGGTAGGCAGGAGCTGGCTGCTTGGAGTGGTGTGAGGTGGCCCCACCTACAGTCAGGGCCCCCAAAAAACCCCTCCTGAGGACCCTAGAGCCCTCCCCAAGCCTGAAGTCAGGGACTTGTGCAATAAAGTGGAGGCCCAGGCTGTACCACAGCCACAGCTCTTCTCATGGGGCCTCAGCTTCCTGTGTGTTTAATGGGTCCCAAGCTTTCCACCCTGGCCCTGAGTACCAGGGTGCTCAGGCCCAGGGGTGTGGGGCCTCCAGGGCTACTACGGCCCATCTGTCCATGAACAGAAAGGGCCTTGCCCTCCAGCCTGAGCTGGATGCCTGTGGGCAGGAGCAGGACTTTGGCTGCCACTGGCACCAGAACCCTCAGCACCAGCTGCTAGGGGTGAGGGTTGGGTGCCCCCAGGTCAGGGTGACCTGAGCCTGCCCACCCAAGGACAGGTACATGAGGATCTGGACAATCCTGGCTGGGCGCGGTGGCTCATGCCTATAATCCCAGCACTTTGGGAGGCTGAGGTGGGTGGATCACGAGGTCAAGAGACTGAGACCATCCTGGCCAACATGGTGAAACCCTGTCTCTACTAAAAATACAAAAAATTAACCAGGCGTGGTGGCAAGTGCCTGTAATCCCAGCTACTTGGGAGGCTGAGGCAGGAGAATCACTTGAACCTGGGAGACAGAGGTTGCAGTGAGCTGAGACCATGCCATTGCACTCCAGCCGGGGCAAAAAAGAGCAAAAACTGTCTCACACACACACACACAAAAGGAATCTGGACAATCCTGCCAGCCTGAAGGGAGGGCAGCCACCTGCCTTCTTCCCACAGGGCAGACCCCAGCAGAGACCGCAGGCCAGCCTCCAGAGTCTGCAAAGGGAAGGTGGGTGTCACCTCACCCCTGCACCACCCAGCCCACTGTGGCTTCTCCTGGGTACTACACAGGCATTTACCTGAGTGGGCGCCAGCCAAGCCCCACCCACACGCCTCTGGCCCCACAGCCTGTGGGTGGAGCCACTGGGAATCCTCACTGGCTGGTCAAGCGACAGGGGTTCCACAAACACCAATGGAGATTCCAGTCCCACCTCTACCACAAACTGGCCAGTGGCCTTAGCCAAGCCCCTCACTGCTCTGGGGCTCAGGTTCCATCTGTACATTGGGTGTGGTGCCTGGGGGACTCTGGAAGCTCTGACACTCAGTAATCCTATGACCCTGTTCAGTTTACTCACTGGGTCACTGTCCCTGTGTCACAGTCTCCCCAGCTCTATAGAACTGTGCCTGTGCCCCAGCTGAGTTGCCCAGTGGCCTTGGTGGAGCTAATGATGCACAGAGCGGGGTGGGGGCAAGGGGACAGGGTCCTACTGTCCCTGCCACATCCCAGCATCGTTTCTGTCTCCCATACCCCAGGAGCTGTGGGACCCCAGGTCTGCCAAGGAACTGGAGTCTGCAGTGTGGACTCTACCAGAGGCCAATGGGTGAGCTCAAGGGCAGACTGGGGTGGAGCTGGGACAGCCCCCTCCAGCGGTGAGAGCTAGTGTGGGGCAGCCCTGGTTGCCTTCCCTGAGATCAGGCTGGATGGAAGTGGGACCTCCCAGACAGAGAACTTGGCTGTGGTCTCCCATTGCCATGTGGACTGGGCCCTCTGGGACCACACTGGGCCCTTGTTTCCAAGAGCTGGAGGAGCTGAGACAGGGGCCATGTGAAGTGAAGACAGGGCCTGGGCTGGGCAGGGCAGGGGATGGTGTAGGGAGCCTGGCTTGTTGGAACCAATGAATCGGGTTGGGGGTTCTCCACTGAGCACCGAGGACTCAGCCTAGATTCATCCCAGGCCTGGAACCCCGGCTGCCCTGTCCTCGTACAACCTCAGCGTGGCCCTGAGAGGGGACTAGGCATCACTCCTTGGCAGGGTGGACTCAGCAATGGAGGTGATGAAACAAGTGCGTTGGGGAGCAAGGCTCTGCGGGCCTAGCCCTGTGCAGGGAACCTGTATGGGGACCCTGGGAAGGATGTGGAGATGGAGGGCGATGTGAGGCCTGCTCAGGGGCTCCTGGGCTAGGCAGTACTAGCCGTATGGGGAGCGCTGCGGGAGTCAGGGTAAAAGAGGGAAGTGAAGGATTAGGGGTTCAGGGCAAGTGTTCTGGACTTCAGTCACCTGCACAGCTTGGAGGGGAAGGTGAGCCCTCTTGCCCCCTCCCCTGGTGCTGTTTCGTCAGCACTGCACCTGATACCGCCATGGTGGCCTCTTTGGGGCGAAGCACAGTCCCTAGAAAGGCCCCTGTGAGGCTGGAGCTCTGAATCCAAGGGAGAGTAAAGTTCTTGGGGAGGCCCCAGATCAAGACACGCTGCAGCCCCACCCTCCTCCATCCCAGACTTCTTTGCAGATGGGTTCACAGCTGGCTGAGATGCGGACTGAGCTCGAGAAGGTCTGCAGTGTGCTGGAAGCTTGAGACTCAGAGCTGAGAGCTCAGCAGTGGGTCCTGGAGGCTGTCCAGGACCAGGTACTCAGCAGCTGTCCCCCTGCAGTGTGCTTCTGACTGGCCCCCACAGGCTCCCCCATGCCCGATCCCTGGTGCCTGCCACATGGTGCCTACCATGGCCTTGACCTTCCCTTCCTCACACTCTTGTCACTCAAGTTCCTCCCAAGCCCTCGCTGCCCATGGGAAGGCCTCAGCCTGAAATGTACTCACTGTTTCCCCCCACCCACCTCCAAGCTGGTGGAGAGTCTCCCTGAGAAACTGAGGCTGCAGCAGCAGCAGCTGAACAGGAGCTGGTAGAGAAGCAATGACCGCAGGATGAGGGGTGCCTGCGTCTGAGGGGCTCTGGGGGGAGAAACCCCACCCTCCCTGCCAGATACTCCTCAGCCCCCACAGTTCTCCCTCTTCTCTGAGAACCTGGGGCAGGGGTCAGAGGCATTTAGGGACATGTTGTGGAGGCTGCCATCTCATCCCCACAGGGGTTAGGACGGGTGGGACTGAGCAGCAGCCTGAGGCCTGATCTATCTCCTGGTCTGCCTTCTCTCTGAAGAGGGGAAGCCAGGGGAAGCAGCAGCAGGAGGGGGTATGGCAGGGTAGGCTGTGGGGCACAGGGAATCAGGCCATCTGGGCCCCTGGACCTGGAGCAATGGATGGAAGGAGAGTGGCCGTAGAACTGAGAAGTCTTACACTTCACTCTCCACCACTCCCGAGCTTGGCGAGCATGAGCAAGTCTTGCCTTCGCTAAGCCTTAGTATCCTTCTCTGTAACATGGGAACACGGACAGTACCTATGACGTGGGATTGATGTGAGGATGACATGGGACACAGTGCACTGAGGACCGTGCCTATGTTCTCCGTCCTCCTTGGTTTCTCCTGTATCTGGGGTCCAGTTAGGCTGAGTCAGTACCAAAGTCATAAAATCACATATGTGTGCCCAGGGACGGCTGCATATGGGCTTTAGTCACAAAGTGTTTTTTTTTTTTTTTTGAGATGGAGTTTTGCTCTTGTTGCCCAGGCTGGAGTGTAGTGGCGTGATCTTGGCTCACTGCAACCTCCATCTTCTGGGTTCAAGTGATTCTCCTGCCTCAGCCTCCTGAGTAGCTGGGATTACAGGCATGCACACCACGCCCGGCTAGTTTTGTATTTTTAATAGTGATGGGGTTTCTCCTTGTTGGTCAGGCTGGTCTCGAACTCCCGACCTCAGGTGATCCGCCCACCTCGGCCTCCCAAAGTGCCGGGATTACAGGCATGAGCCATCGCGCCCAGCACAAAGCCTGTTTTATGCAATGTTCAATCTGCAAGGCTTTGTTTGCACTTCTTGGGATATTCAGGAAATAGTTTGATGTAATGCAGAGCTGCCAGTGACAGACAATACAGCACATTCCCAGGCTGGCGACAGCTACTGGCTTGTGCTTAAATACCATTTCATTCTGACCACGGTCATCGTCTTTGAGCTCCTGCAATGAGGGGCTCAGTAGGGTGGGGGATGCTGTTCTCTGCCTCAGCTGCTCTTTGGAGGCTTTCATAAAAGAGGGTCAGAGGCGCCGATGGCGTCTGGGAGACCCTAAGAGTTCTGACTCTCAAGCTGAGAATTATGTCCTCAGGGAGTGGGACCTGCTGCAGGTCTGAGCACCAAGGGCTGCAGCACCAGGAGGACAGGAGCCTCCAGCCATCTCCACTTCACAGCCCCTGAAAGGTAGCATATGGGGACCCTCTAGATGGGGTGGGGAGTGACCTCTGCCCAGTTCCTTTCTGTCCCGTGGCCTTCCCGTTTGCAGGTTGTAGAGGGGAAACAGAAGGCTAGAAAGGCCCTTCCAGCTCAGGCTTTTACTGGTTCTAAATGGATTCCTGAGCTGGCCTCCCTGTCCCTGGACAGAGCGGAAGCTACCCCCTGCCCTGCTTCTCTGACCCCCATGGTATCAGCCTCTGTCTTATCTGCCCCTAGATCCCAGCCACAGCCCTGGAGCCCAAGGAAGGGCATCTGAGAAAAGTTGGAAGCCAGGGGCAGTGCCCAGGCAGTGTAGACTGTGCCGAGTCAGCCAGGGGCAGATTCACAGCCTCACTCTGCAGCACAAGAGCTTGAGGTCAGGCCCTGCATCTCTGCCCAGTGAGCTGAAGGGTCCTGGCATAGACAGGCTGAATTGAGAGGCCTCAGTGAGTTGGGCACGGTGGCTCACACCTGCAATCCCAGCACTTTGGAAGGCTGAGGCAGGTGGATGACTTGAGGCCAGGAGTTCAAGACCAGCCTGGTTAACATGGGGAAACCCTGTTTCCACTAAAAAATACAAAATTAGCTGGGTGTGGTGGCACGTGCCTGTAATCCCAACTACTCAGGGGACTGAGGCAGGAGAATCGCTTGAACCCAGGAGGCAGAGGTTGCAGTGAGCCAAGATCATACCACTGCACTCCAGCCTGGGCGAGAGTGAGACTCTGTCTCAAAAAAAAAAAAAAGGCCGGGCGCGGTGGCTCAAGCCTGTAATCCCAGCACTTTGGGAGGCCGAGACGGGCAGATCACAAGGTCAGGAGATGGAGACCATCCTGGTGAACACGGTGAAACCCATCTCTACTAAAAATACAAAAAATTAGCCGGGCATGGTGGCGGGCGCCTGTAGTCCCAGCTACTCAGGTGGCTGAGGCAGGAGAATGGCGTGAACCCAGGAGGCGGAGCTTGCAGTGAGCCAAGATTGCACCACTGCACTCCAGCCTGGAGGACAGAGCCAGACTGTCTCAAAATAAAAAAAAAAAAAAGAGGCCTTAAGCAACCGCGGCTGGGCAAAGACTTGGGAGGAGGGGAGGCCCCTTTGGCTGTGCCTTAAGCCCCCAAGGCCAGGATTTCTATGAGACCTGAGACCTGGAGCCTGTCAGAGGCAACTGCAGTCAGAGAGGCCTCCCTGGCAGAAACCACTCCTTGTCCCCTCCCTGCCACAGGCCTGAAATGTCCATGTTATATGACTCTTGGTGGATGAGACCACCTGACACTTTCCCAGGGTACCCTGTGGCTAAGAGTAGAGTTGGGCAGGCAGTGCCCAGCACCACAGGGGGTGCTGCGGGCCTGTAGGCTTGGTTGGTCCAATTACTGCCCTAATGCCATAGGACAGTGCCTACCAGGGACCCCTTGTCTTGCCAGGGAAGGCCTTAGGCACTGTGCTTTAGACATTTCAAAGTGAGTTCTCATTCACTTGTGTCTCTGATCACACTAAGGTCCCCATTTCACAGACTGCCTGCCCAGAGAATTTGTCATAGGTCACACAGCAAACCAGCAACTAAGCCCGCTGGTCCCCTAATCTGCCCCAGAAAGGTAGTTTCTCAACTGTTGTGAGCTTGACAGCATGACCATCCTCAGGAGCCACAGGTAAAGTGGGCTGAGGCTTGGCATTCCCCTCGGGGTCATCTGGCCATTCTGAATGCCCCTCCCCAGCCTGCTCCCTCCGGCTGAGCCATGTGTCCCCGGAACCCCTCTCAACTCTGTTGCCCACCCCTCCCTCCGTCTGCGCCTTCAGTGAAGCAGTTTCTCAAAGGAGGTGTCCTTGGTACCGTGGAGGGACAGGACACCTCTGGGAATTCGTACCCAGCTGCGTTCATGCTGAGTTCTTCATGACCACTCCTTCCAGCCTCAGCTTGTGGATCCAGAGCTGGGTACTGAGCCGTACTGGACCAGTGGGCCCCCTCCTGGGATCGCTGGACTTGGAGCAGAAAAGTTCCTCCAGGACTGAAGACTGGACACACAAAACTTGGGAACTGTCAACTGCCCTGTTATTCACCTCGTGAAAAAAGCTGGATTTAAATGAGAGCGAATGGAGCTGACAATTCCCAGAAACTCGAATTGGGATGGTGAGATTTTAGTTCAGCCCAGGGCGGTCTCATGCGTGGGTGGTAAAGTTGAGCTTTGAGGTGGTCTTCAGAAGGAGAGGAATACCCTCCGCGGGCAGAGATTCCCGGGTTCCGGGCCCTTTGGGACATCAACACAGGTCCAGCTGCCCTTAGGCTCCTCCGCACACCCTGGTTCCAATAATAAATCCCTTTCCTCTCTGCCGCCATTGGCCTGACTGGCTTCGGTTACTTCGCACAAAGAAACCTTGCCAAGCAAACGTCCCCGGTGCTGCTCCAAAGGAGACCCCTGTCCTCCTAGAAGCCCCTCCCTGAGGCCGGGTATGCACTCGCCGCCCGCAACCCTCACCCTAGCTTCAGCTTCTGCTCCTTTTCCTGCCCACCCCCCCCCCCAGTGAGGAGATCGGCACCCCTTGTATGTCTCTGTGTCTGCCGGGGTTCGTGCCTCACTGTCTCCAAGCCCGGCTTCTATCCCTAGTCCCTTCCTGTTCCCGCATCTCCTGCATCTCCTGCTTGCTTCCTTCTCCCCTTCCCTCCAGCGGTGGTTCCAAACCTTCTCTTCCATAAGACCCTCGATTCCCTTTCCCAGGGACCCAGGGGTACCCCCTCGTTGGGGGAAAGGCGCAGCCTGTAGCGGGTTTCCCTCCGCGCAGCGCGGGCAGTCTAAGATCATTCTCGGTCACCCTGCCCCCTCGCTCCCATTGGCTCTGGGGAGGGCACGTGACTCAATCCTGGCCAATGGCGTGGTGGGGCCTGTGGCTTGTAGCCGGGCAAGCTTTTCTTTCTTTCTTTTTTTTTTTTTTTTTTTTTTTTGAGACGGAGTCTCGCTCTGTCGCCCAGGCTGGAGTGCAGTGGCCGGATCTCAGCTCATTGCAAGCTCCGCCGCCCGGGTTTACGCCATTCTCCTGCCTCAGCCTCCCGAGTAGCTGGGACTACAGGCGCCCGCCCGGCTAGTTTTTTGTATTTTTTTAGTAGAGACGGGGTTTCACCGTGTTAGCCAGGGTGGTCTCGATCTGCTGACCTCGTGATCCGCCCGTCTCGGCCTCCCAAAGTGCTGGGATTACAGGCTTGAGCCACCGCCCCCGGCCCGGGCAAGCTTTTCTAGGAGCTTCTGGAGGCTGTCCGGGGATCCTCGGCTGGGCGCAGCGTAGCATAGCAGAGAAGAGGGAGAGGCACCTGTCCTCTTGGAAGGAGGCAGAGGGAGACAACCTCTGCCTCCCTCGCCCCTTCCCCTCCCTGAAGGGAAGGACTTGGGGGAGAGGTTAAAGGCACCCGCTTTGGAGTCCTGCCCCAGCCTTGCCATTCACTAGATATATGACTTCCAGCACATTTCTATTCCTCAGTTTCTTCATCTGAAAAATAAACAAAACAACTAGCTTGGCAGAGCGCAGTGACTCACGCCTGTAATCCCAGAATTTTGGGAAGCCGGAACGAGAGGATCGATTGAGCCCGGGAGTTTGAGACCAGACTGGACAACATAGTGAGACCTCGTCTCTATAATTTTATAACAATTAATTAAAAAAAAAACAAAAACAAACCTGCCTTATAGAGCTGTGGGTAGAGTACGAAATGAGATAACTTGTATAGAGGGCTTAGCACTTGTGTTCATGTTCAGGGCACAGGCTCTGGGCCCTGCAGCCACTGAACTACAGCCCCAGCTCCTCCGCTCCCTAGCTGTGGGACCTCACCACACCAGGTTCAATTGGTAGCTTCACAGCCAACTTACTATGCAGTCATCAGTGCTGTGTGAACCTTCCTGCCCATCTCTTGGGGCACAAACGTAGGAGTAAAATTACAGGGCCCTAGGGCCAAGTGCATGATCAGCTTTACTAGGTAATGCCAAAGTGGTTTCCAAATTGGTTAGCCCAAGAGTGTGAGAGGTCCTGCTGCTGTTCATCCTTGCCAGGACCTGGTACGGTATGACTTTTGTGTCTATCCAGTAGTGTGAGGTGGTTTCTTGCCCATTTCCCTGATCACGAATGAGGTCAAGCCATTTGTATTTTCTTAGACAAAACATCTATTTGTGACTCTACCCCCTCTCCCTAACTTACTTTTTGCTCTTAAGAATAAGCATTAAAAAGAAATCATTATGGGCTGGGTGCACACCAGCATGCCTGGCTGATTTTTATTTTTATTTTTTTATTTTTATTTTTGAGACGGAGTCTCGCTTTGTCGCCCAGGCTGGAGTGCAGTGGCACCATCTTGGCTCACTGCAAGCTCCGCCTCCCGGGTTCACGCCATTCTCCTGCCTCAGCCTCCGAGTAGCTGGGTCTACAGGCATGCACCACCACGCCCGGCTAATTTTTTGTATTTTTAGTAGAGACGGGGTTTCTCCGTGTTAGCCAGGATGGTCTTGATCTCCTGACCTCGTGATCCACCCGCCTCGGCCTCCCAAAGTGCTGGGATTACAGGCGTAAGCCACTGCGCCCGGCAACCTGGCTAATTTTTAAATTTTGTTCTGCAGAGAGGAGGGTCTCGCTATGTTGCCAGGACTGGTTTCAGACTCATCAAGTGATCCTCCCGCGTTGACCTCCCAAAGTGCTGGGATTACAGGCATGAGCCACCTCGCCCAGCCACTCATTTAATCCGGCTTTTAATTTAATTGAAGGGTCTAGCTTGAGAAATTCTTAAGGTCAAGATATTCTCCAATATTTTCTTCTTAATTTGAAAAGGATCGGAGATTCATCATTTCTATTGGATGCCACTTCTGCCAGAACTCTCCCAGGATCCCCGCCTCGCCAGCCACCATGTGCTGTTTCCATCTCAAATGCCTCTGGGCCTGGTTCTGCTCTTCATCACTCAGCTCCCTCCTAGACACGTCCTTTTAATTTCCATGTGGCCAGAAGTTGTGAAGTGTGATACCAATGAGTGGTTACCAGTGAAGTACTATAGTACCATTTTTTTTTCACAAGATTAAAAAAAATCAGCAATGGACGCTCAAGACTGTCCCAATGTCACCCTCTTTTTCTAGCATTTCAAAATGCCAGAGGCTGGGTGTGGTGGTTCACGCCTGTAATCCCAACACTTTGGGATGCTGAAGCAGAAGGATCATTTCAGCCCAGGAGTTCAAGACCAGCTTGGGCAGCGTGACAAGACCTCATCTCTTCAAAAAGTTTTTAAGAAAAAATTAGCCAGGCGTGGTGGCATGCACCTGTAGTCCCAGCTATCTGGGAGGCTGAAATGGGTGCTGCCTGAGCCCAGTTTGAGGCTGCAGTGAGCTATAATTGTGCCACTGCACTCCAGCCGGCATGACACAGCAAGACAATGTCTCAAAAACAAAACCAAACCACATATATATATATATGTATACACATACACACAAAATTAAAAATGCCAGATAGGAAACCCTGCTAGCCTGACTTCACGTGGTTACCTAAACAGGTGTCATCAGTACGTTGTCAAGGATGGCAGAGGCAATTACCAGTCCACACAAGGCCTGCCTCTCTGCACATCTTCAGGGTATGCCCAGAGGAGTGTGCATCATGGTAGAGAAAGGCTCTAGGGATAGGCCTGAGCTCCACTGGCAGTCCCCCAGGGTTCCACGCCCAGCAGGTCGCCTGGCATCACCTTTCTAGAAAAGCTTCTAAGCCCATGCCCTGGTGAAAATACATCCTGATTCTCAGAGGATGGCCCCCAAATCTATTAATCCTGGCCCCACCTTTTCCCAATTCCCCTCTCCTCCACCCACTGACCCAAGGCACCAGCCATAGTTCCCCAATGCCAGGTCCTTTGATGCCACTGCATTTCCATATGTATTCATATGTATGTATGCATGCATGAATTCCTCTGCAAGAATTGCTCCAGGTGCAAACTCTGACTCTTCCAGCTTTAATGTTACCACCTGTGGAAAGCCTTCCAGAAGTTCTGTGGCTGCTGCAGCTTCTGTCTCCCACCAGTGGTAGCCTGCTGTTCAGTCCCAGTGATGCTGTAGTCTAAAGAATCCATCTCCGTCTAGATAACCCTGTGGGTCCTCCCTTATCGTCTGACCCAGCAGGAGCTCAACAGGGGCTCAATCAAGGTGACCCGCTGGCCCTGTGCCTGCCAGGACACTGATGTGACATCACTGGAGTCAGTTCTGATGATAAGGTAATGCCGGAGAACCCTGCTAACACAGAAGGTAAGCTGAGAGTGAGCTCAGTGAGCCTTCCCTTTGAAGAAGGGGTGAGTGAATGGGAGAAGATTCAAGACAAATCAAGGGGTCAGGAGTAGTTCACTCAGTCCCCTTTCACTCTGAAGGAGCTCACCTCTCCCCAGTACTGTCCAGTGGAAGGGCCACTCAAAGCAACTGAGAGAGACCTGCTTGTGTGAAGAGGTAGAGGTTTATTGAAATATAAACATTCGAGAACATGTAAGATAGAAAATAACCACAACATATACAGACACTTGCTGCAGGAGGACATCTGAGGTATTTATTCACTGCCTAGGCTACCCATGTGCTATCACATTTTTCTGGTTAGAATACACATAAGATGGGGAGCAGGGAGGGGACAGAGCTGCCCTGGCTGATGGCACCTTCAGGGAAAGCTCCGCTTGGGCCAAGGCCCCACTCCTGGGGGTACCTGCTGGCAGCCCCCATCACACTCTGGGTGAGACCCTGCTGTTGTCCTTGAGGGCAGTGAGGGTTCACTCCAACGGTGTGGCCAGGCGAGCTACCTGGGGAAAGCGAGAGGATCCAGTGACCAGAAGGACACAGTGTGTTGTCCCTGCATCCTCTGGGTGGGAAGAGTCCATCCTTTGTGACCAAACCCCTGAGAAAGACATACTGGCCAAATGTCTGAGACGCCTTCACATGGGCCCAGTGCCAGCCAACTGGGCTCCTCACTGGCACCAGGTCCCAGATGCCCTTCTCTGCCCACACCCTGCAGGCTGAGGCTAGACGAGGTCAGCCCCCCGGAAATGGGGGGTGTGTGTGTGTGAGTGTGGGAGTAGGGGTAAGCGTGTGTGGAGGGCTGAGAGAAGACGCAGTTGAGCATACCTGCAGCTTACCAGGCTGAGGTATCTGTTTGTGCTCAAGCTTTTGATTCCCTGTCCTCTCCTACACAGGACTGAATGCAAGCTGCGCCGCCACACACACACACGCCATGTGTGGTGTCTCCCATTGCCACAGCCCCATGTCCCAGTGGTGGTGTTCTGCTGAACATTCCAGGGCTTCCTCGACTGAGGTGAGCCGCACATAAGAACTGCCTTTTCTTTACAGCACAGGAGCTGCCTGCTCCCGCCCAGGGTTCAGGAGGAGCTGTGGAGTTCTTCATCTCCTCATACCCTGGGGCGGCTCAACCTCTGGCAAAGTCAGCAAGGACCCCAGCCTGCCTGTGCCCTGAGCTGGGAATGCTGAGTGATGGGGAGATGTCCTGCTGCCTCCCTGGTCAGCTGGGGGTGGGGGTGTGGCAGAAAACGGTCTTCAGAACTGGTGTGGTTTCAGGGCCCGACCAGCATGAGCGCGGGCCTCTCCACTCCACCTCCCCGCCCCCGCGATCCCTGAGTCGTCTCCCCTGCCTGCCTCTACCCGCCTCCTCACTGGGCTTGAGGGAAGGGCCAGAGGGGCCGGGGTACCCAATCACTTGCTTGACTTTGGGGGTGATCTGTTTTCATTTCTTTGGTGCTACAACAACAATAAAAATTTTAAAATAAAAAAACAAAAGTCAGCAAAACACATATAAAAAAGATTTCAGAGATGCAAATACTTCCTGAAGACTCAAACATCAACAATTACAAATCTGAGGTATTTCAATGAACCTGACAGCGGCACATGTGGGGATGGTGAGGCCAAGATGGCCCCATAAGAAAGAGAAGAGGGCTGGGGAAAGGACGAGTGGGCTGTTCTTGGGAGAGCAGGCCGATAAGGGCAAGTGGGGAGCATGAAGTTTGGGGGGTCAGAGAAGGGTCCGTGTGAAGCAGGTGCCAGGGCTCGGCAGCCCCAAGGTTCTGCCGTCTCGTCAGCAGATGCCCTGTGGGCCCTGGCCCTCAACTGCCCTCACAGCCTCTTCCTTCAGATCATTAGAAGGGGGATCTGGGACCCTGAGGACTGATTCAAGACTTGCGTTTGAGGGACCCATACCCCAGGAACCTAACAGTAGGCAAGGTGGTCTGGAAGGGCCCCATCCCATGCTCAGCAGAGAAGCATGAAGGCATGCTCTTGGCTCCTAGCAGCCCCACATGGGACTTAAAAACAGGGGAAGAGACTAGTGGCCCTGGGGTCATGGCAGAAGGCAGGGGCAGGGAAATAAATTAAAGGGGAAGGGAAATGGAGGGCCTCCAGCCCTGTGTCGGCTGACAGATTGTCAATACACTGTGCCCCGAGCTGGGAGGTGGCTGGGGAACCCTGGAGGAAGCTGGACACCCACAGACCCCCACCGAGTTCTCCAGGACAATCCCTGATTGGACAACGCTGTCTGTCCTGCCCCTCTAGCCTCTCCCTGCCCCCAGAGTACAGCAGGACCTGAATGGAACCTGGACAGACGGGCACATCCAAACTCTCAATGTCTGGCCAAATGGTGCTCGTCGACGTGGGCTCCGTGAGATGAGGTAAATTCTGTGCATCAACTTCCTTCACTCTTGACAGGAGAGTGGCAAGTGGGAAGCTGGGTCCTGCCCATCAGAGGGACCAGCTGGTGGAGGGCTCTGCGCTGGGGGTGCCCCGGGATGAGGTAGGACTTGGTGAGCAGTGAGAGCTGCTGCTGCTGCTGGCGCTGCTGCCGAGGCTCTGGGGAGCAGACCCCGCGATGAGGTGGACCACAGGCTTCTGGGCAAACAGCACACCTTGGTGGGGGGAAGAGAAGCAAGTGTGGGCAGAGGAAGAGCGAAGGGGCGGGCCAGCTCCTTTCAGTAAGTATTCACTGCTGGCCTAGCCCTGTGCCTGACTCCGCTGTAGACACTGCGTTAGGGGGTGATGGGAGAAGATCCAAATGCTGTCCTGCCTTGAAGTGCTGATGGGCTGGGGAGGGGGACAGATAGGTTGTCAGAGTAATTTTGCTAAAATGTCATAAATGCTCTGAGACAGGTGTACCCAGGGTACACAAAGAGGAACAGCAAGTCCAGGTGCGGTGGCTCACAACTATAATCCCAGGACTTTGGAACGCTGAGGCGGGAGAATAGCTCAAGGCCAGGAGTTTGAGACCATACTGGGCAATACAGGAAGACCCTTGTCTCTACAGAAAAAAAAAAATTTTTTTTTTTTTTTTTTTTTTGAGATGGAGTTTCGCTCTGTTGCCCAGGCCAGAGTGCAGTGGCGCAATCTCGGCTCACTGCAAGCTCCACCTCCGGGGTTCACGCCATTCTCCTGCCTCAGCCTCTGGAGTAGCTGGGACTACAGGCGCCCGCCACCACACCCGGCTAATTATTTGTATTTTTAGTAGAGACGGGGTTTCACCGTGTTAGCCAGGATGGTCTCGATCTCCTGACCCCATGATCCGCCAGTCTCAGCGTCCCAAAGTGCTGGGATTACAGGCGTGGGCCACCACGCCCGGTTTTGTTTTTTTTTTTTCCTGAGATGGAGTCTCGCTCTGTCGCCCAGGCTGGAGTGTAGTCGTACGTCTCGGCTCACTGCAACCTCCACCTCCCAGGTTCATGCCATTCTCCTGCCACAGGGTCCTGGGTAGCTGAGACTACAGGCGCCCGCCACCACGCCTGGCTAATTTTTTGTATTTTTAGTAGAGACGGGGTTTCACTGTGTGTTAGCCAGGATGGTCTCGATCTCCCGACTTCGTGATCCGCCCGCCTCGGCCTCCCACAGTGCTGGGATTACAGGCGGAGCCACCGCGCCCGGCAATGCTGTGCTTAACAAGTGTCAGGTGGGCTTGTCCCCAAGCTCCTCCGTAAACCAATGAAATGGGAATGGGAAAGGGACTGCTGTTTTTATGAATACTAAGTTGTTTCTTTCTTTTTTTTTTTTTTTGAGACGAGGTCTTGCTTTGTCACTCAGGCTGGAATGCAGTGGTACAATCATGGCTCACTGCAGCCTCGACCTCCTGGGCTCAAGTGATCCTCCTGCCTCAGCCTCCCAAGTAGCTGGGACCACAGATGTGCACCACTATGCCCGGCTAATTTTTTTTTGTATTTTGTAGATTTGGGATTTTGCTATGTTGCTCAGGTTGGTCTTAAACTCCTAGGCTCAAGTGATCCTCTTGCCTTAGCCTCCCAAAGTGCAAGGATTACAGGCATGAGCCACCATGCCCAGTCATGAATACTAAGTTAAACCCTTGGAAAGACTCTGTAAAGGTGCGAAATCTACCAACCAACAAAACACTGTTGCCAAATTAGGTTTAGGAAGAGATAACTATAAAAGACTGGGGGGCGGGGACCTTAACAATGTAAGCTGATTCTGCTATACCAGGGTTCCTTTGCCTGTGTCTCAGTCTGCAAAAGGAAGAGCTGAACCAGTCAGAGGAAGGCTGTGCATGAGAAGACCGGGGGATTGTGGGACACTGACCGACTGCTTCCATTAACGAGCCAACCACTGGTCTAAAAGGGTTAGGTGAAAGATTTCTGCCAAAGTGGGAGGGACCTACCATCCTGTTAACAATCCACAGTCTCTACGCGTCCAGAGGACCACCTAACCTTTGCAACTCTGAGACCAGGAAAAAGGAAGCCACCATGGGAGGTGTTCAGACAGAGGGCAAGAGGCAGGGTCAGCCACAGAGCTGCGCTGGGGCTGGCTGCAGCCACGTGGGCCTCCCCCAGAGCTCCAGGGCCTCACCTGCGTAGGTGGTGCCATCGATGTCCACGGACATGTTAATGCTCCCAATGCTACTCGTGGTCAGGTTCAGTGCTGCAGCCGAGGCCTCTGCTCTGTCTTCTGCTGGGGACAGGGAGACAGTGGGCCTGGTCAAGCCTTCCACAGCACTCCTGCTGTCCTCTCTGATGCTGCCTGGCCACCCCCGGTCAAAGCCTCACGCTGTCAGAAGGCACCTATGTAACCTCCTGAGTGTAGCGTATGGCAGGAGATCCCAGTCTCGCTAACCTCCTGTTGCTGGCTTTTTCCACTGACACAGTTCATCTCCCCAATTCCCTCTGCTCCCAGAGCAAAGGAATCACAGCAGGCAAGGAGGCCGACCCCAGCCCCACCACTCTGCACTGGTACTTTCCACGTGATGGGCAAACCCCGAGCTACACTACACACCAGGCCCAGGAAATCAGAGATCAACGAGACCCAGCCCCAACTTTGAGGACCCACCTTGCCCCTTCTTTCCTTTGACTGAGTCCCTCAAAGAGATGAGTCTATGTCCTCAGCCCCTCCCTTCCATGACCACCTGGGCAGCTGGCGTTTGTAGAAGGCTGCAAGTGCTGGCACACACAGCCTCTGCCTGGCTCACCCCAGACTCAGAATTCTTCCCAGTGAGCTGTCTTTCCTAACAGCCTTTTGCTTTGTGTAGGAGCAGGGCACCTGGCCCTGGGTGAGCTGTTACCTCTCAGTTTCTTTCTGCTCCCCAGGGGCAATGGGGTAGGGAGGGGCGGCCTGGAAATATGTACAGCGCCCTTCACACCTGGCTCCTTCCCACACATCTCATTCATGTTTGCTTTGAGATAGCATCAGGACCAGAATGGGAAAGAATGTGTGTGAATGGGAAAAGGGGCATGTGGCTTGGGGAAGAGAATGTGGGGCACTAGAACGATGTGAAGAGGAAGGGAAAGGATGTCAATTATGCTGCCAAACTTGTGTTTCCTCCTTCTCTTTATATTCCTGAGTCCCGCTGTCTAGCCCGGGGCAACCTGGCCCCTCGCTGAGCCTCAGGAACATGGGGTGTCTTCCTCCCCGACCTGCAGAGGGTGCCCTGCTCTTGCCTACATCCAGTGAGGTGCTGGGGTGAAGGCTGGTGGGGAAACGCTGCAGCTCTCTGAAGGCCTCTGGCTCCTCCTCTGTGAATAACTGCTTTTCCCTCTTATTAGAGAACAGAGCACCGCCTGAGGCAACATGTGGTCCCCTCTACTAAACAACCTCAGCTTGGTGAACTGAGATCTCAGTGCCTCTCTTCTGGGGGCCTAGAAGGCAGAACCTGGAGGGGCCTCTTCCAGGTCAGGAGTATGTGCCTCACCACCCCTGCCCCCAGTCTCAGGAGGCGTGAATGGGCGTAGGGTTTCCCAGTAAGGGAAGGCTCTGCCCTGAGCCTGGCTCACCCCTGCCGTTGATCCTGATCTTCATGGGGAGCTGTCGTGCCATGGTGAAAAAGTTGCGCTGGAAGGCCTGCTGCACCAGGCGCTGCTCCTCCTCGGACAGCCTCGACACCTTCTTCTCAGCAGGCTCCCCTGACTCCAGCCGCTCCCTCAGCTGCTCCAGCGCGGCGGTCCGAGTACCAGCCTGCTGGTTTGCCAAGGTCACGGGCACAGCCAGGCGATTTGGCACAGGCACTGTTGTCACTGGGGCTCCATCACCTGCGAAAGAACTGGAGCTGGACCAATCCACAATTGACCCTCTTGCCCAAAAACCCCAGTCTTGAACACAGGGAAACTGGCATCCCTTCCTCCCTTTCTTCCTTCTCCCCCAGGAGCCCTACTGACCTTTCCTGAGAGTGGTTGCTGGGGATATCCGAGGGCTACTGGTATTGCTGCCACTGCTGGAGCCAAGCCCAAGGATGGGAAAGCGGATCTTGGGTGGGGAGAGGAGGGCAGGGGCCCCGGCAGCGGCAGCAGCAGTAGCTGCAGCAGGTGAGTAGCCAAAGAGGGAGGAGCTGTAGCTGGGCCGCCGGCCCTCCCTACGGTTGCCATCAATGGCTGCCTGGAGCTCGGCTGGGGAACTCAAGGCTTTCTTCTCACACTCATAGGCATACAGATACTTCATGTACCTGGAGGAAAGGAAGCAAGCAGGAAGAATAATCCAAAACAGCACCAGAGATCACCCAGTTGAGGTTGGTGGGTCTCTGGAAGCAGTCTGCTGGCCAGGACTCTAGGGCAAAGGATCGCAACCTTGGTGTACTTGGCAGAAAAGTCTGGGATGGCTGGACACTCTGCCCCAGCCTCCTCTAACTGCCACTCAATCCTAAATAGGCTCTACTTTGAAGGACCATTCATTAGGGGAAATAAATAACATCTTAGTTGGTGTTTCACATTTGTTTTGGTGCTTTTTTAGTGCCCTGGGAAAAATTAGGCCCATGTTTTACAAGGGCTTTCTGGCTTCTTGATCTTATTCAGAGCTGGGCTAGTCAGATAGGAGCAATTCTTCCTATTGTGCATGGGACCTAGACACTGTCATTCTTTGTGTCTTAGGTCCCAAGAAGCAGTTCTCTACCCAGGAACCTCGCCATTCTGGTTGTAGCTACACCATGCTACCTAACTGATGTCAGCTGTACATTGCATACTCTTCACAGAACAACTTCCAGAGTGTTCCAGAAGAACAGACTCCTCTCTGGCCCTCATTCTTCAGTGCTACTATTGGTTTCACCGCTTCCATCACCCATGTAATTAACTCAAATGCTGACAAAACCAGATCACCAATCCAAGGGGGCCTTCCTGCCTGCCTTTCTCTGGGTCCTCTGCCACTGGGTAAGCTGAATGTCAGGTAAGAGGAGCCACTTGGGGTGGAGATGCTGTTTGGAAGACAATGTCCTGGAAGGGGCACAGGTCTTAGAGACAGAAGCTCAGGTCTGAATCTCAGCTCTACCACTTACTGGCTGGTATGGCCTTAGCCAAATTATTTAACCCTGGAGACTTCATTTTTGTAATGTGGAAAATGGGGGCATACCTACTTTACAGGGTTGACTGTGAGGTTTAAATGAAATAGTAAAGTACCAACACAGAGTAGACACTTGGTAAATGGCGGTTCTCATCACTACTTGGTTTAGTGAGGGATTAATCTCAGAAAGCTCCCCACTGTTTCGGGAATCCACTCATCTTGCTAACTATACAAAGGAATTTCCTTCCTTCCTCTCCTCTAGGTTACAACATCCCCTTTCTTCAGCCTAGCTTCCTTCCCCCAGGCCCTGGCCACTCACTGGGTCCTGAGGGTGAAGGCAGCACTGGTGATGGATGTGGGCAGGTTCAGGCCTTTGGTGATCTCCCTCCAGATCTTCTTGTTGATGATCTCCACCAGGCCCCCCTTCTCGGTCACCAGCTTATACAGCATGTACAGGTCCAGGATCTGCTTGGCCATGATGGGGATTCGGTTGATGGGGGTCCCTGTGGTTGTCCGAGAGAAAGAGACAGCGGGATCATCATCAAGCTGAGAAGGATTCCGCGTATGCCCACCTTTAACTGAGCTGGAAACAATGCTCATGAATCTGTTTGGAAGTGTAATTTAACTCAAACTCCCCAAGCCTGAAGACTCAGACTAGCTGTCAGGACAGGTCCAATGCACAGGCTATGTGGGCCTTTGGCAAAGCACTTAGACTCTCTGGTTCTGTTTTGCTGTCTGTAAATAAGAGGGCCAGACTAGATGATTTCAAAGGTGCTTGTTTTTTAGTTTGTGTGTGTGTTTTTGTTTTGTTAGCAGTATGATTCCAGACTATTCCTAGTGATCTGGCAACTTATCTCTGCAGCTTTCAGACTCCATTCAGTGGCAGCTTCCTCCAGGAAACCTTTCTCTGACTTCCTAGAAGGGGAGCCCTGCCTAGTCACCCTCCTGGCAGCGCTCAGTGCTGCTTGTAAGAGTGTGCTCCTTGGCTGGGCGCCGTGGCTCACGCCTGTAATCCCAGCACTTTGGAAGGCCGAGGCGAGCAGATCACGAGGTCAGGAGATTGAGACCATCCTGGCTAAGATGGTGAAACCCCATCTCTACTAAAAATACAAAAAAAAAATTAGCCTGGCTTGGTGGCAGGCGCCTGTAGTACCAGCTACTCAGGAGGCTGAGACAAGAGAATGGCGTGAACCCGGGAGGCGGAGCTTGCAGTGAGCCGAGATCGTGCCACTGCACTCCAGCCTGGGCGACAGAGCAAGACTCCATCTTGAAAAAAAAAAAAGAGTGTGCTTGTTTGCACATGCCTGCTTTCTCCTCTCCTGCTTGATGGAGAAATGGTTTCTTTCTCTCTCGTGTGCCCCGCTATGTCAAAGGAGCTGCTGGACACACCAGTCTCCAGGGGAATGAAAAGCCACTCAATTCTCTCCCCACACCAATCATTCCCCCACTCCCTGGCCTCTGAAAGGGGGAGGGTCAGAGCAGCTTCCGCCCAACGGCCCCGAGGGGAAGTGAGAGGAGCCAGGGACTTGATTAGGAAACCTGGCACCGAGCAGGAAGGGCTACTAATGAGCACCAGGGGACGTGGTGAGGGCGGGGCCAGTTCTTTCACAGCCGGCTGGGATGCTCGTCAGGAGGCGTGATGGATGACTGTCATTTGGCAGCCTCAGGATTAATGATCTGGAGGTCAGAGGGGAGAATTCCACAGGGAAGGGTCACCGTCCGGGGCAGGGTATGAGACTTGTTGCCTTTTGATGGCAAACTCCTTTTACTGTACACAGACTGCTGCTCCTCTGCCTTGCCCCCTCCCGTTGCCCCAGTCTCGCTGAGGTCTCACTGGGCTGCCTGGTGGACCTTAAGCCAACCTGAGCAGGGAAGAGCTGTTTGTTTCTGCTCCATAAGCCTCTTTCCCTAAAGGCACAGCAGTTTTCTCAGCTCTGAATGGCAGCCTCAGCAACTCTTTTACAGGATGGTTCAAGCCAGAGAATGAAAAGGAAGCAATGTGGGCATGGATATGTGGGGCTGCTACGGCAGGACCAGGCCACTTCTTTTTCTTTTTTTTTTTTCAAAGATAGGGTCTCACTCTGTTGCCCAGACTGGAGTGCAGTGGTGCAATCATGACTTATTGCAGCCTTAAGCTCCAGCCATCCTCCCACTCAGCCTCCTGAGTAGCTGGGAATACAGGCGCACACCACCACACTCAGGGAATTTAAAAACATTTTCTGTAGAGATAGGATCTTCCTATGTTGCCCAGGCTGGTCTCAAACTCCTAAGCTCAAGCAGTCCTCCTGCCTCAGTCTCCCAAAGCACCTGGCTTAGGCCTCTTTCCTAAGTGTGGGGAGGGAGTTAGTGACCTTGAAGACCTTTACCTTGACCTGCTGGTCCTTGGAGGGTCAAGGACAAAGGGGTCATGGAATTAGACCCACAGATTCACAGGTAAAATAATAGAGGATTACCGGCATACTCCTAAGACACATAGCTCATGTGCTGGTTGACTTCTCCCAGTGCTGTTCTAAACAGTAAACCTTCCCCCTACCAGAAAGACAAAAGCCTGATGTGGGCCCCCAGCAGGACAGAGCTAACGTCGACCTCCTTTCAGAGGCCTGTCTGCCCAAACATACCCATGGCCTTGAGTCCACACCTTCCAAGGCATTACCTGGAGTGTCTGAGAGGACCACTCCCAAGGTCCCCTCACACAGGGCTCCTAAGCTCACATTTCCAGAAGCTCCTAGGGCATCTTCACACATGTGACCCGTTTACTTCCAAGTCAGAATGTCTGTACTGGGCTCATCTTCATTCCCCTAAACTAGCTCCCTTTCCCCACACCTCATTTTTTCCCAGCAACACTACCACCCTTGGAAGTTAGGCAGGAAGGCAGGAACCTCGTGTCAGCACTGGCTCCTCTCCTCTCCCTATCACCCACTTTCAGGGTGCTAGAAGGCTTCATGATTCGTCCTTGGAGGTACCTCTCAAAGGCATCTTCTTTTTTGGCCCGCAGCCACCATCCTGGTCCAGGTCCTCTCTGGCCCACAATTGGATGCCTGCAGTAGCCTCTTACCCATACGATCAACTTGCACACTGCAGCCAATCTTATTAAAATACTACTTTTACCATATCACTCACTTCCTTGTTTAAAAACCTATGAAAACTCTTATTGCTTACCTAGCCCATCTCACATGTCCAATCGCATGACCCACGTTCCTCAACGCTCCCTTAAAAGATCACATATGAAGTATTCCTGGCATATCTGAGCAACTCACTTACACTCCAACTCGCTAGGCCTTCTCCCTATTGCCCCCAAAACACGCTCTTTTCTGCCTCCAGTCAAATCCTCTACAGTGTCCTTCTACATCCACTCCTTCCAGGAAGCATGTTCTCACTACCCCAGTTCATGTGGGTTTCTTCCCTCTCAGAATTTCTATCATGCCCCTGTAAGTTCAGCAAATTGTCCTTCTCTAATTGTTTCACGTCTGTTCATCTGACATCCCTGGAGGACTGTCAACTCTATGAAGGCAGGGGTTGTCTTTCCTCTTCCATGCCTACCATGCCTTACAGCGTTTAATAAATTAACCTACCCAGACATGTTTCTCGGAGTCGAAGCAACCAGCCCCATGGTAATTCAATTGAGAATCTTTTTCTAAAGTTTCTTTTTAGAGACAGGGTGTCACTCTGTTATCGAGGCTGGGGTGCAGTCACGTGATCATAGCTCACTGTGGCTTGAACTCCCGGGCTCAAGCGATCCTCCCATCTCAACCTCCTGAGGAATTGGGACTACAGGGGCACACCACTATGCCTGGCTAATCTTTAAATTTTTTTGTAGACACAGGGTCTCACTATGTTGCCCAGGCTAGTCTCGAACATCTGGTCTCAAGGAATCCTCCCACCTTGCCTCCTGAGTAGCTGAGATTTACAAGCTCCACCCACTGCACCCAGCTCTCAACAGGGAATCTTTTTTTTTTTTTTTGAGTCGGAGTCTCACTCTGTTGCCCAGGCTAGAGTGCAGTGGCACGATCTTGTCCCACTGCAACCTCCGCCTCCCAGGTTCAAGTGATTTTCGGCTAATTTTTGTATTTTTAGTAGAGACGGGGTTTCACCATGTTGGCCAGGCTGGTCTTGAACTCCTGACCTTGGGTGATCCACCCACCTCGGCCTCCCAAAGTGCTGGGATTATAGGCGTGAGCCACCGTGCCCAGCCTCAACTAGGAATCTTAAACACACTTCCCACACGCCTGTGACGTGCCTGCTGGGACCCTCACAATTGAGGCCAAAGGGGAAAACAGGTGTCAAAGAGCAGGCAGTGGCCAGGTGTGTGACAAGCATAAGACAGATGTGGCAAGTGTTGAACCAGCATGACAGGGCTTGCCCAGCTGAGGAAGTGCTGTCCTACAGGTCACCTTGGACAGCTAGCTTTGAAACTCCATCTGCAAACAGCTTTCAGAGTTTGCACTATTTTCTTTTGAATCTTTTTTTTTTTTTTGAGATGGAGTCTCACTCTGTTGCCCAGGCTTGAGTGCAGTGGTGTGATCACGGCTCAGTGTAGCCTCAAAATCCCGGGCTCAGGTGATCCTCCCACCTCAGCCTCCTAAGTAGCTAGGACCATAGGTGCACACCACCTAGCTCAGCCCAGTTAATTTATTTTGTTTTTTATTTGTTTTTATCTTTTGAGACTGAGTCTTGCTCTTTTCCCCAGGCTGGTGTGCAGTGGGGTGATCCCAGCTCACTGCAACCTCCGCCTCCTGGGTTCAAGTGATTCTCCTGTCTCAGTCTCCCGAGTAGCTGGGATTATAGGTGAGTGCCACCATACCTGGCTATTTTTAATAATTTTAGTAGAGATGGGGTTTCACCATGTTGGCCAGGCTGGTCTCGAACTCCTGACCTCAAGTCATCCGCCAGCCTCAGCCTCCCATAGTGCTGGGATTACAGGCGTATTTTTATTTTTTGTAGAGGTGGGGTCTCACTATGTTGCCCAGGCTGGTCTCAAACTCCTGGACTCAAGCAATCCTCCCACTTCAGCCTCCCAAAGTGTTGGGATGACAGGCATAAGCCACTCCACCCAGCTGAGATTTTCTAGTGTGGTTCGAACCGCCTCTGAAGGCAACTCCCCAGAGAGGAATTACAAATTCATTTTGAGTAGTCAGTGGATTAACTGCCTGGCTATTTGAGATGGCATCTTTGAAGGACAACATTGTTATAGATGTAGAAATTTCATTAAAAATTAGCCTCTTTATAGTCACACACAAAGTGACTGTATTATATTAGACTGAGAGCTGCTTAGGGCAAGGGGGACACTGGCAGATACAGAACCTGAGGAGACAAGGAAAGGTCACAGTGGTGTCTGAAGTCAAGGTTGTAACCTAACTAATCAGTGACCTCTTCCCAGAGGGGAAAATGGACTCTTGTGGGAACTGTCATCACACCACAGAGAAACCGCAGGTAAGAGGCGCACTGGAAGCCGTGGTGGTGGCCCCTGCACCCTACCGTGTGGCCCAGCCCCACCCGCGGCATA